TTTGTGTATGATATAAATGATATATTTTTATAACTAATTTTGGCTAATAAAAATATATACTTTTGAGCTCGGTTATCAAAACCTAGGCGGTAGATATCAAAAAAATTAGCTAAATGACAAACAAGGTGGATCTTAAAAAAACCTAACGAAATATAATAGAATGCATCTGTTTCAAACCATGTATAAAAGTAGCAAAGTGTACTTAATAACTAATTATTATGTCGCAACAAACCGAAAGATATAACTCTATAAGTTTGCTGAATAAACACTCTGAAAACGAGTAAATACAGGACACTATCTCCCCGAGTGAAAACTTTAAGCAAAAACGTTCGTTAGTTGAATACTGTGGTCGTAAAGATACAAATTTAGAAAAAAATATGCGGCTCTTTCAATTTACTTAGAGTAAATCGGTTTTGCAATTGGGTCCCTCTTTCATTAATTTTTACAAATAAGCAGTATTTATTCCTAGGCACTATTTCACTATTTTCATCACATTTGTAAAGGTTGAAAACTGTTTCATTTACATGTTTTTCTAGCAATCATTGACTTTTTAAATTTGAATCTTCTAATATACCTTTTTTTGAAGCAACTTTTTAGCTATAGTGATCATATGCTTTATAGAGTTTGGAAAGTAAGTCGTGATTCTTCGTGACTCTTCGGAAAGATCAATTAATCATTACACTCAATATTTTTATTTTCATAGTTCTATCTACTATACCATTAAATTTTTCCTGTAGATTCTTTAAAATTGATGCGAGTCACCTTCTTTATCGCTATTGTTAGAGTCATCGGAAGGAATATTAATAATTTCATATTCGTAATTTAAAAATAGAGATGACACTAATTTGTTTAATAAAAATGCTTCTGAGAATAATAACGTCCTAAAAAGTTGCATTTTTATGTAAAATTTAATAATAAATTCAATTCAGAAATAGAAAGTAAAAATTTTTCCATCGCTTTTCTTGGAAAATTGATTTAATGGTATTATGGTTCGTATGAGTGACGTGTAGGACACCTAATAAATAAATTTTTTTTAATTACTCCTAAAAGCAATGCCTCATTGGAAATATTTATTTTTTAAGTAAAATTTATTTGATAATCTAAATCCAAAAACGAGCAATTCATGTGACATATTCCTTTTTTTTTACTGAAATATCTTATGTGTTTGGTGTGATGTGAAGGATAAATCAATTTTTTAAAATTTTTGATTCTTATGTAGAATTTTTATTACTTATCGAAATCAAAAATATTATGACATATAAGAATATTTGTAGTAATTTCTTTGAAAATTCCTTCAATGAACATATAGTACATCTGTGCTTGATATGTTTTGCGGGAGAAAAAAATGATAAAATTTAATAAATAATATGCTATCCTGAAAATTTTTATTTCTCAGTAAAATTTAAAACTAAATCTATATAAAATATAAAAAATGAAAATTCTGGGAATACATTTTTAAAAATATTTTTTTTTTAAATATACCTGTTAATATTAGTACTTATATACAAACAATTTATTGAAAGCTCAATTTAATTACCTTTAAAACGCAACAAATTTCTAACATTTATAAAGTCTGAGATATGACCATTTGAAAATATGTCTACAATGCTAATTCTCAAAACCCCATGAGTCCATATCTCCTAGGAAAAAAACTACAAAATTTTTTTCCAAGATATGGGTCTTCTTATTATATGAAAAAAATAAAATCCTAAAAAAATTTCAGCAAAATCAGATATGATGAGGTCATTTTATGCCAAAATCCGTGCGGTTTGTAAACGCACGAGCCCATATACAATACGACGTTAAATAAGATGAATACCTTATCGTATTAAATATCAACTTGCTACTTTAAAGCACACTAAATAATATAAATAAAGTTAAAACTATAATTAATAAAATAATACCAATTTGTCTAAATGCTGACAATATTTTGATGATAACGAAACGTAAGAATTGTTTACTCAGGGTAACCATTAGACCATATAGTACAATTAAGACCTAATACTTAAAATAAAACATATAAAAACAACTTGTGCTGACTAAGTAAATAATACTGTATCCAATATCAAGTATCGAGTTAAAAATATCAGCGTGATATTAATTTCTTATAAAGACACACAGCTATATTTGATACATTACAAATTGCTAAAAAGATTATTATCACAATATTCACTTTTTTTAATACGACTACTGTCCAAGAAACTTTATCAATCATAAGATCCATTTTATAAACAATTGTAAAAACGTGGGTCCTTAATAATGAAGATATAATTAGGAAAGACTGACATTACAGAAGATAAATAACTCCGTACAAGTGCAAAATTTACTTTACAATGATGGGGTTATATTGCTATAGTAGCAATGTCGTTAAATATAGGAAAAAAGCATAGGACAAAGTATAGGAGTATAGGAAAAAAAGAAACGAGAAATGAGTATCCACCGTCAAGTCTTTCAATAAACACTTTAAAGGCATATTGTTGCAAAAGCAATGGTTCATCAGAGAGTATAATCTAAGCAGCAAATTAATATGTAGCATAATATTCTATATATATTTCTAGTTTAGAGCGAAGTACTTATAGCATTTATTTAAAACTGTTAACTAAAAAGTTATAAAATGCCATCACATCTGATGTAAGACAAGATATAATCTTGTGTCTACATCACATAATCATGTTAAACTGCAAATGCATTTATAAAAATGAACGTTTCGTATATTGCAGTTTTAATAATGAAAATGAAATGACATAAACAATAACTACTAAAGTTAAAGTTTCATTTTAATAGTGACAAAAATGCACTATTCAGATTTTTTATTGACAAAGGTTGTAAATATTTCAATAGTTTCTATTATAAACACAACTTATTTGTTTATATCTATATTTCTATTTGAAATGTATATATTACATATAAATCATATAAATTTTTCTGCTATATAAATTTAATTATCTACACATAACATAATTAAAAAAATGTATGAAGCAAAAAACTAATCTTTTTAATTTGCGCAAGAGGAGAACACTATATATAAATTCAAAATAAAAGTTGACTTTATTAGCGGCTAATGAGCTCTGCAACTATAAAGTATAATATCAATAATTAGAACAATGACCCTTCATTTAATCCCCCCGCCTGCATTATATTTACTTTTTGAGAAGATGCACTGTCATAATAACTTGTCATGTAATAATATGTTACCAACACTTAAGCACTTTCAAACCCTATTAACAAAAGTTAAAATTTCTTGTCTTCTATTATTAGAGATTATCTGGCTTGTCATATCAAAAGCCATTAAATCTAAATTTGGTATGCAGACCTTCAATCACTAGACCGGAGCTCCGTCACCATCATGGCTCCATAAGCATTACTGTGGCTACTAAAATAAGCCAATGCTTATTTTATTGGATTCTGTTGTTTTTATACAATTATTAGAATTAAGCTTAAAGTTTAAAAGTTAAGACATTTGATTTCCGGGGACATAAATTTCATAGTTCATAAAATGACAGAGAAAAACGCATGAACGCATGGTTATCATGAAGGATTAGGAAAGAAATTTCATATTTATATAAAAAATTGAATGAAAGGAGTCCTATTCCTTCTCTAAAATTGATCATTTTGACAGATTCATTCTTTTACACTTTATTAATTTAAAGTGCCGTCTATGTAATGGATAAATACAATCCCATCGAGACATGGGTAAATATATTAATAAAGTTTTTATATCAAATAAAAACAGAAATTTATAGTTTTAGAGAAAACCTATTATTTACACCCATTTTAAAAATTTTTTTTCACGAAATGAATTTATTAAATGTAAATATTTAAAGTCGCAACCATATTCAATTCGGGCAAGTCTTAAAGGAATTAGATATAATAGTGGATTTTGCACAAATGGCAACGAAAATCAGCAGATCTCGGAGGAACCAACAATGAGTTGCAAACTACTTGAAGCAATTTTAAACAATTTTAATTATTTTGATCTGCAACCGGTAACAAGTATTTGATCTGTAAAGCTTAGAGGAAACTTTGACAACTTCAAAAACAATAAAAATTTAACTGTTTTCTGATATTAGTGACGTAACCAAATACGTCTTTAATTTGTGTTATTTATTAATTGATATTCCAAAACAACCCTTTTTATTTATTTACATTAATTATTTAGGAGAAACATACAATTAAACTTAGAAATTAAAAGTTCTTTCATGCATTAATGCGCTCACAAATTGAGCCCCGTTCCGATGAAGTGACAAATTCCCTTCATCTGGAGCCAGATTGTATTTAATTTTCCTGCCTATTTCATCCTTATTTTTATTTTAAACCGTATAACTCTTCTTATTCCTCCACATTGTTTAATGTCTAATCAAACTTCTATATACTTTCTATTAATTCGTATTTTTGCGAACAACTATATTAATTGTACTTATCTATCACTTATTTTATATATATACTCATATTTATACTTTACTCATCTAGTTTATCATTTAAAAAAGTCATATACAATGATTTACATATAAATCAGATAACAAAAAAACCTATATACTATGTATATAGGTAAGCATATGTAATTTTTGAATATTTTAATAGTTTCTGTAATAAAACTACAAAACTATTACTTTTAACATAGCGACAGCAGTTTTTTTTTTTTAATTAAAGCATCTTATTTTATTCTTGATAAAACAAATAAATAGATTAGTGTTAGTCTACTAAATTAAATCATTTAAGTTCTGTTTTGCATTAGGAGTTGACATATAGAAAAAGATAAAGGTTGAGAAATCTTTAAAGTATTTTTAACTCATTTAAAATTTAATTTCTATAAACATACTAATGAAATTATACAAAATAGTAAATCTTATATTTAAGATCTAATGGAAAGAGTATTAAAATAGTTATTAATAGAAATTTTTATATTATTCTCTTAAGTTTTGATTATTTCATAAAATAATTTGTAATGAATACTATTAAATTTACAATATACTACATGAATTTACAATATAGCTACTTACCAGCAACAACGGAATCATGCTTAATTGTACGCCTTACAATCATAATAGCGTCGTGCAAAGAACGCTCAGTTTCCTCCAAGAACTGCTCAGCACCACCACGCAATATCATGGTACATGTTTGTGCCTGCGGGCAACCTAAATATTTTTTAAATACAATATTAAAAACACAAAACAAAAACAAAAACTAATTTAACAAACCTTGGAAAATGTTAAAACGTTCACCTCCAATTTGACGTTCTTCAAAGTATTCACACTGACCTAAAACACTAGGCTTGATATCATTAGCAGTGGTCATAACAGCACCACCGCATGCTTTCATTGTACGCTTAAGATCATCTTCAGGAACGCGTCCAGCACAGAACATATTACGATCAGCAAAATATTGTGTAGCAACATCACCGATCGGCAATTTGGATAGAACTACATTTGCTCCTGATTCATGGATTTTAGCCAATTTATTATATAAAATTTGCCACTCAACATCAACAACTTTTTGATACTCTTTAACATTATCTACGCGTACTTCGGCGTTATCACGTTCAGCTTTCAGTTCCAACTCAATGTTAAGTAATGCAATTTTACAATTTTTGTAAGATTTTGGAGCCATTTCAAAACCGGCGTATGTGAATGTTTTCTTAAATGCCACACCTGATACCAACTGTGATTCTTCTAAAGAGCCACCAGAAATTTTTTTAATACCAATCATATTTAACGGTAATAATTCTCCTAAAGAAAGCACCGCATCAACAACCATTTTTGAAAAGAAATCTTTTTGTTGATGTATTAACTTAGATGACATAGCTGTTGCTGCACATTTCTCCAAAAGAGAACGTTGCTCCTCTTTAGATTGCTTTTCTATGCGCACAGCCATCTCATTAATTTTATTAATACACAATAAAACTGCTTTACGAATAGCCTTGATTATTACACGTGGGTGGACACCTTCTTCTACAAACGGTTTCACTTGTTTAAGTATTTCACCAGCAAGCAATACAACGGAAGTAGTACCGTCTCCAACCTATTGAAAATTCAAATATTATGCATGTCTTAGCTTTGTTTCAAATTAATTATACCTCTGCATCTTGTGATTTCGCTATATCAACAAGGGTTTTTGCAGCTGGATGTACAATTTCTAATAATTTCATTATGGTAGCACCATCATTTGAAATTGTTGCTTTCCCACTTGAATCAACAATAAGTTTATCCATGCCTCTTGGACCTAAAGTGGTACGCACTGCGTCAACAATCGTTTGACAGGCATTTATGTTAGATACTAGCTGAGGTTTGCCCTGTGACGTATCGGTGCCTTCTTTAAGTAGTACGATTTGAGGTTGCTAAAATCAGATACAAAAACCATGAGTCAATGTAAGAAAGAACATGTATGCCGTCATCGCTTTATACATGTAAACAATTCACATGCGGCTTAATCAGTGTAGAAACTTCTTTGGAGGTTATGTTTGCAGTTTTTGTAGTTCCAATTTAAACAAAATGTTATGCACTTAACTATTGTAATATGTTTCAATATTGTGCAAATTAATAATTCTGTATTGAATTAGTAATAAATTAAATTGAACAAAGCTTCTATTTATGAAAATTGAAACCAGATGGCTTTAACGCTGTGTATATAAATTCTTTATGCCTTAAATTTATGGCTTCGTGTAGTGTATAAAATCTTCTTATGCTTTAAATTTATGATTTATATGCGCTTTCAATTATTTCTTACCATTTTATTTATAATACTATATAAAATTAATTCAATAACTTAATTATTAAAAACAGCAGACGGCAAACTCACGCGACTCAATCTGAACAAAGAAAATTACAATCTGTCAGAGATGAAAGTTTGACAACACAGAAGGGGAACATGTGTCGAAAAGTGACTGATAGATGGCGCATTAATATATTGTTGTTGCGAGGTATGTTCAATAGGTATCATCAATAGGTATCAAGTCGAAATATTACAAATATATTAAAATTAGCCGTTTTCTCAGTTAACACAATTATGTAAGTTCAAAAAATTATAAACAGAATATACATAAACAGAAATAACATATATTTAATAAATGATTTGTTAGTCAAAGAAAGAAATAAAAAGTATGCAACAATGACGCCAACCTTAAACACAGATACTCAGCAAAAAATACGTTACAACAGGGCCGTCCACACTACATGCGATCGCGGGCCAATACAAATCACTGTACAGAGTGGAGGTCTGCAAAAACAAATACATACGTTCATAGTTGTTTTGGAGAAAAATAAAAGCACGATAATAATGTTGAATTAAGTGTTATTCATTTAAATTTATTTATTTGATATACCAAAAAAATAAAATAATGTAAATAATAGAAAATTTGCGTAACACAAACATTAGCTGCAGGCCGCATATGGCCCGCAGGCCGTACTTTGAACAGCCCTGTGCTACAATATATGTAATACTTCGCGTATTAAGTAAAACATCAAATGTAAAAAACCTAAACAAATTAAAAAAATTTTAGTTCTATGAGAAAACTTGAAATATAAGATTGAAAACTACTACTCTTATTCTAACTGTGATGTTAATGAGCCTGAACCTTAAATATATGAGTATGTATTATAACCTTATTAAAATATAAATACCTACTTTATTTATTTTTGAATCAACGTTTACAGTATTTATTTCCGCTTAAAGCTGATGATGCAAAGAAAATTCTTCTCTATCAATCTGTGAAAAAATATTTCACAATAATGGAAAAGTTTAGGACATTTAGGACATAAAATGCAACTAGAAACGTTTTTTATACCGAAAAGAAAGCAACAGATATGTTACGTAACTGGATCCAACCCACAGTAGACATAAAAACCAATAATTCATTAAAACCAGGCAATGCAGTATAATTGGCCACTATACATGTTACCATATATGTACATCGATTACTAAAAAAAGTCACCGTACCTTTTTTTGCAAACAGTATTTTATTTAATTTCTGTCTGATTCTAAAGAAACCGATTTTACTAAAATGCATAGTTATGTTTGAATTTCGAACTAAATGTATTTTACATATTTAAAGACGCCTTAATATTTGTATATAGAATGAATGGGTTTATGTACAGAATGAATTGGTTTGTATCCAGACTAATATTAAGAGAAATGATTATATTTGAAAAAAAAAAGCATTTTGTATACTATAACAAACCGATATGACCACCTTGCACATCTATTTCGATTTCGATTTTATATGAGAAAATAATACGTTTTTATTTCACTAAAAGTTTCAAACTTTTTCATAAAAGTTGATTTAATGAATTATTTCCTTTTTTTGTATTTTTTTTGCCCTTAAAATATAAACAATTTTGCGTATAGCGGAAGAATTTATTTCTCAATCGCTTGTTTCTGAAGTGCCTCGGCAAAACTGCCGTATTTTGTCAGTTTTACACATGAAAAATATTTATGTTGATGTATAAATAATTTTCCACTTAATTCGATGCTTAACTCTTCCTACTCCCACTTGAAATCTGAAAGAAAATATTTATAAAATTCAAAACGTGCTCTTGTTTTAATTTATTGGTTTATACATAAATTGAAGTGAAAAGTCTTCATTATTTCATCCAAGAAATACCGCCTGAAGACAATATTACAAGTGAACAATCCAAAAAAATCTAAATTTGCTTCTCTTTTGATAGTAATTCGATGCTCTCTGTTTGTACCACGATTGCCCACACAACTTGTCCTCTATTTTACTCTTTCCGATTGAATTGAAATTATTTGGAAGCATTTATTATGCAAATGACGTAAAACGCTAACAATTCGAGTATAACAAATAACAGATGGCGAAAAGGTAAACACCGACTAGTATCAGTCCATGCATGACATTGAAGTACGAGTTTAAAACTGCAGATAAAAAAATTATTAGTTAATCGGTCTGATAGACTACAAGATATCCTACGCTGTTTATGTTACTTTTATAGAAATAGTATATATAATATATATTTGTGCAATATATATTAGAATGGATCTAAAAATTATACAACCAGGGGTTTTGCTTAATCTATATGTATCGCTTATTAAGCAGCTAGTTCTGTATATGTAGTTGAGATTTAAGAGTATCTCTTCGTATTCGTCCTATTACTTAGACTGTTTTAATCGTAGCTTTAACTTTCTTACTTTCTTGTTATTTTTGTTATTAATTTTACGAGTACATATGTGTCATGCTCCTACTATATGCAGATATAGTCAAATGCCAACTGTAGGGTAATAAACAACTACGCAAAAAGCTTTAGGTATATGTTTAATTGAGAGAAGTTGCACAGCTTGGATTATTATATTGAAAAAAAAACTGCAAATAATATGTTCATTTTCGATTATGCACTTAACTAATTGCGTTGACTTTCATATGTTCAAGTTAAAATTGTTTCAGTTTATTTTGTTGTTTTTAATTAAAAATTGTATAACTTCTGATATGACATCATAATTGTACTACGCATTGTAGTAACATGTTTTCTGGTACTCTGAAGTGCAGAGAAATTTTGTTTCACAGCCTTCATATGACCTTACCAAAATTAATTTAGACCCAAAGTTTGCAAATGACCTTAAAGTTCATTCTTATATTATGTTATTATATTTTATATATCTTTCACACACATTTGTGTACTATTTTAAATCTACATTAAAACACATAGTTCAATACAAGAGTTTTTTTCACTTCTTAATACTAAAAATGATTTTCCTTACATTAATAGGACTCTAGATAATATTCCTAACGAAATAAAATCTAATACATTTTGAACCGAAAAACCAGACTAGATCAAACTAGACAAATCACTAGATCATTTTGACTGTCTTGCTTTTCGTATGAGAAAAATCATTATGAATGATTCTAAAGCCATTATCGACTTTCCTTAGCCCATTGAATAAAACGATTATGAGAGAAGTTGTTATTATAACCACATCCCTTTGAGAAAAAAATTTTTCGTTGCATTTATTGAAAAATTATTTTTACCTATTTTTTCACATTCAACGTGAATGGAACCTAGCCCACTTGAAATGCAAAGCCGATTTTATTAATCCTACCGCTAATCCTACCGTTAAATGCTTTTTATATGCTAATTAACAACAATTTGGTAAGTTCGGTAAGGTAAAGATCAAAGGAAAGATACTTTATAATGCTTTTTACTTTTTCGAAGTTCCTTTCCTATTGTTTATGTGTATTGATTGTTTTTGGTTAATCTTTCATTTAATTGAGACCAACAAAACTTGTGTCTAATTGAACAAATTAAATTCCTGAAGGTTATTTTCAACGATAATCGGAATAACTGAATAAAGAATGACCCACCATCTATACTAGTTAAATTTTGGCAATTTTTGCATAAACTCACGTTTACACTGACACAAAGATATTTGTTCGTAAATTCGAAAATATACGTAGTTGCATTCGAACTTGTTAAAAACTTGTTAAAATCTAGGTAGTGTGGACATCAAGTAAATTAATAATATAAATAATGTTTGTGTTTCAATAAATTGATTAATTCCATATAAAAGCGAGACATGTAGTTCTATCCATTTATTATATTTATTTATTTTTGTAATATTGTTATTTTTAAAATTTATTATATCTTTATGTATTTCTTATAAAGGATTTGCTTGATTGATCCTTTTAAATATAGTGTAATGCATTTATTTTCATTTTTTTTTTTGCAACATTTTTCTGATAATGACATATTTTATTGTTACATAAAGGGATACCGGAGATGATACAAAGAAAACTGATAAAGTACGACCACATACCATTGATGAAGACGATGAAGTAAAAGAAAAATTAATGAATAATGATGTAGATCAGGGCTGTCCAGACCAGATGCGATTGGGGGCCGCAGAAACAAATACACAGGTATATACTTGTTTTTGACAAAAATAAAAATACGGTTATAATGTTAAATTTACTTTTATTAATTTATCAATTTAAATTTATTTATTTGTTATAAAAATTAATATTTATAATATTTATCATAAAAATAAAATAATGTAGTTTTATCAGTACACCAATAGAAAATTTGCGTAATTGTAGTAGATTAAAAACATATCGCTTTACCGCACAAACTTTAGCCACATTATGCCCGTGGGCAGTACTTTGTACAGTCCTGATATAGATAAAAAAGTTGATACTCTACAGGAGCTCTACCAAAGGAGCTACTCAAAGAATGAAGATAATGATGCATTAGATGATAATGAAGCACATTATGCTGCAGAAGAAGTCAATACAGAAGAGACTGAAGTAAATAAATAAAATTAAGCCATATAAAACCCATAAATAATGTCAATTTTTAGGAAACTGCTTCCATAACTCCAAAAGGTGTTCAAAAGCGTCGAATGCGTATAGATCAGTGCTAAACGCTAAGAGTTTTATTTCAGCTTATACTTATAAATCCAAAAAAAGTTTATAGAGATAAAACTTTTGCATTCGTCATCGCAAATAGTCGACACCGGCTGCACATACAGAAAAGCTTTTCTACAATTAACCACGGAATTATTCTAAAAATTGTAACTTAGATAAAAAGTAATTACAAATTTAAATTAAGTTAAAATTTTATTTTAAAATTTAGTAGTAAATATTTTATGGCCTTTTTTTAGTTTTGGTTTTTGAATAATGTTCTCATTTTAGTATAAAATGATCTGTACTTGCATTTTTTTCTACATATTAAGTTAATATTTTTTCAAAAAAAGTTAAGCTAATTAAAAATAAAATACATTTTTTGTTTTTTAATTTTTATTAATTCATAAAAGGTATTTCACAAAAAAGTATTTGCAAGATTTAAGTTCAAAATAATTATGTACTTCAATTTTAGAAACATATATATAACATGTATATATAAACATTAAATTTCTAATATTAGACTAATCATTAACATCATAAACATTTATTTAAACAATAATCTCTCTTATTTTTATTAACTCATATATGCTTCAGTATTATTATTAACACAATAGAATTCTAAAAGCAAAACAATATAAACTTTTAGAAAAGTTGGTTGACGTTTGATTTCAGCATGAATCTTTCTTCCTATGTTCTATCCAATCTATGGACATGCATAATAAATGCTGAACTTTAATAGTTTAGATACTCCAGTATTTATATTTTCATTATTAAAGTTACTCTTATAAACTATATAAAAACTAGTGATATTCATACATGAAATATAAATATTTTACTTATATAAAAAAAAATTATATAACACATATATTTTTTTTAATAGTAATGAAGAAATACAAAATATATAAATAGCCTTTAAAAAATTTATTTAAATTATATTATTTATATATAATTATTATTATTATTCCATACTCCATTAGCAACTTAAAGAGTCTACAAAACTTTTCCACTGGTTTCTATTTTGTGGTATTCCTCTCAACTCGTTAAACGATTTGCCCGTCTCATGCTGCACTCCAGGTCATTGCAGGTCTGCCTCTGCGCCTAGTCTCCTGGAGATTCCAAGTAAGTGCAGCATGCGCGATATCTTCATAAGGCGTACGCAGTGTGTGTCCAATCCAACCATACTTCTTTCTTCTTATATCGCTTTTGACGTTTGTTTGGTGCGTTATTCTCCATAACTCTTCAGTTGAAATCCGTCTAGGCCACCATATGCCTAATATGTTGCCCAGTCATCGATTGATAAATGATTGCAATCTTCTTTCGATTTTGAAGTTAGCAAGCCAGGTTTCCGATCCATATAGGCGTACCGATTTGACGCAAGCGTTAAAAATTTTTACCTTGGTGTTGGTGTAATATTGTTTATATACAGGTGTGTAAATTAATTTCTTCCGCTTTTAATTAAACTTAACTAAATTATTATTAAATTCTTGCTTGCATCGAATTGGATTATTTTTTCTTTTTGTAAGAACTGATGGAGAATTCTCTTACTTTCAATTAAACTTAATTGCTAACAAAAGCTTTACTTGCGTTTAGTATCATTCCTTGTCCGTATTGCGGGAACTGATGGTACCTGTGGTGATGGTATAGAAATTGCGAAATTTCACTCGTAGCAAATGTAGATTTTCTTGTTTGAGTAGCAGCGTCAATAGGTATAAACCAATAATCACTATTATGCTGAGCACGCTCTGTTGGACTTCTAGTTGCATCAGTGACGAGAACTACATTAGAATATAAGCGTCGTTACTGGGACCAGGTGCCGATGGTACAACCGTCTTTTGGTTATACTGTAAACTTTTGAACTTTTTTAATTCGTTTGGTTTTTGCAAAAGTTTGGAAAAACAGCGTTAAAAAACAAAAGAAATTTTTAAAAATATAACGGTTCTGCATTAGTTCACACTACACCTTAAATATCAATAGTTTCAATTCTTCACAAACTTACACATATGCGAGTTTATATTTGAAATTCCTATCTTATTAATTTATATACGATAATGTGAATATTAGAATAATATAGTATTAAAATAAATATATAGTAAAATTGATGATATTTTACATAAATAGAGATTGGAACCAAGAGATCTTATCAAAGTCTTGCAAGTGCAGGTGAGATTAGGTTGTAGTGACGGCTTTGTGCCCAAAGCTTACTTTAGTTCAAATATTGGTCCATTATGGATCCACAGGACCAGCGTTTGTACATGCGTCGACTAGCGGTCAGCGTACGAGCAACTTGGAAAGACACGACTTCCGCATTAGATAAAGATGAACAAAGTGATAATTCTATGAAATTGACTAAGTTTTGTTACGTCGGTAAGAAAATAGGCCTTGAAGATTAAAGATCTTCTTGCTAAAGATGGACACTGACACATGTGGTTGAGCACAGTCCTGCTCAACCGCAGAGCCACAACCTTGACAAAATTCATTATACGGTAGATCTAGCTTCATAGTATATCTTCCTATTACGTAGTGAATCGGCAGGATAGATACCGTATTACTAAGTAGTTCAGATTTATGGTTGGAATTATAGTTTATAATTATTCTTTTACGCACCAGCACTTGTAGCAAGTGTACGGGTAGGAAAGACCGAATTGTATGATAAGAAACGTACGGTGACTATAACAGGTAGTATATACCAAAGAAAAATGAAATGCAATGTAAATTTTGGAGTCCAACAATAATAATAATATGAACAGGATTTAAAATATTTATTTAAACTCTAAAATTTTTATACATCTAACAACGTGTCCATTTTGTTGCTCATAAAGTAGAGAAGACGGAAATATTAACGGCTGATCATAGTTCCAGGGTTGCATATATTACTTCGTTAAATATAGATAGGTGTGATACAAGAAGCATAAAAAAGTAACATTATCTTAGGAGTAACATTAACTATTGCAATGCAACGGAATAAGGGTATTGGAGTTCACACGAACATAATGAAGATATCAGTGGACTTTGGAATTTTTCGTTAGTGGAATTTTTGAACTGCAACTGTTAGGTATCGAACCCTGTCAAATAAAAATCATAGATTCGCAATTAAATATACGAAACCGAACTTCACATTTATATTGCGTTATATTGCGTAATTTGAACAAATGATGGTATTATATCCTTATGACTTATATTTAACGGTATGAAGGAATAAAAATTTCTTACAGATGTATAACAGTGTCGGATACAGTATGATAGATGTAAAAAATAAAGAAAGTCATATATTCCACTGGAAGATAGTAAGTACAATTTAATGGTAATAGTAATCCCTCTTACAAGTATGCCTATACATAACACATCAGTCAATAAGTTGCCATTGTCAAATTTATATGACTTTTATAAAATACCAACCTTCAAAAGACTATGTGTAAAATTTCAGGACATTTCGATTAGTCAGGAAAAAGTGAGAGCCTTTTAAATGAAGCTACTTTTGTTATTTTCAAAACAATGGATTCAAAAAAACTTCATGTGTTAATTTATCATTGCTTATTGATGAAAAAAAAATACTGTACAAGCTCAGCAATGGCTTCAAAAGTGTTATCCGGACTCTGCTCCATCGAAAAAAACTATTTGTTATTGGTTTGCTGATTTTAAACGTGGTGGTACAGACACCGATGATGGTGAACGTTCTGGTCGTCCAATTGAGGTGGTTACTCCAGAAAACATCAAAAAAGTCAAGAAATTGGTTATATCTGATCGTAAAGTGAAATTGCATGAGATAGCTGAGACCGTAAAGATATCAAAAGGCAGTGTGTTTACAATTATGCATGAACATATGAGCATGAGAAAGCTCTTTTCAAAGTGGGTGCCGCGTTTACTCACAGTCGATCAAAAACAACAACGTGTTGATGATTCAGAGCAGTGTTTAGCCATGTTTACACGTAATAAATCAGATTTTTTGCGTCGATATGTGACAATAGATGAAACATGGATCCATAACTTCACTCCGGAATCAAAACGATCATCATCTGAGTGAATTGCAACCGGTGAACCACGTCCGAAGCCTCCAAAGGCACAACAGTCAGCTGGGAAGGTTATGGCTTCAGTATTTTGGAATGTACATGGTATAATCTTCATTGACTATCTCGAAAAGGAAAAAACCATCAATAGTAACTACTACACGGCATTACTAGATCGTTTGAAAGCAGAAATTGTGAAAAACCGACCGCATATGGCGAAGAAAAAAATTTTATTTCATCAAGGCAATGCTCCATGCCACAAGTCAACAAAAACGATGGCAAAATTGCACGAATTACACTTCGAATTGCTTCCTCATCCACCGTATATTCCAGATCTGGCCCCCAGCGACTACTGGCTTTTCACTGATCTCAAAAAAATGCTCGCCGGTAAGAAATTCATCTCAGATGAAGAAGTAATTGCTGCAACTGAAACCTATTTTGAGGTAAAAGACAAATCCTTCTACAAGCACGGCATCGGGAAGTAAGAGAAGCGTTGGAATGATTGTATTGTATGATGAGTAAAATCAATTTTTGGAAGAAAAAATTTGTTTTTCTTAGTTAGTTACCCGTATTATTGACTAATGTGTTATATATCTGGTATATGTTAACTACAACTATTTTGTAAAACTGAAAAGTCTGCGCTTTTAAATTAATTTTCTAGGCTTTCTTTATAACTTGGGTGATGTTTTAATATAATTCGTTAATTTTGTTAGAAAATATATAAAAGATTGCAAGTCCCCCTCCGCCTTAACTGACATTTCATTACTGCAATCGTACACTGACTACACACTCAAAGCAAAATCTTCACGTTTATTTTTTTATAAAATTTTGTACTATTTAATTGATTATATCTGCTTCGTTATTCATTGATAAAATGGATGAAAATAGTTTAAAGTAGAAATTTTTAATTTGAAATGCTTATTGTCATTTCCATGGAATATGCTCCACAATGTCGTTATTGTGATATGTGGTCAGAGCCCTATAAAGGCAACTGGCAAATAAGCAGTTTCTGAAGTTGGACCCGTACGAAAAGTAACAGACTTGTATGAAATATTTCTACCCAAGTACATATTGTAAATCTTGTGCGGGCACATTGTCTCAGTCATCAGACTGCTTAGACTGCGCTAATATCTGTAGGAGAAACAACAACAATGTATCTTTCACTGAAATGTTTATTTGATTGAATTGAGTCGAATAGAGATAAATTAATGTACGCGGAGAGTCAACAGCATAAAAGCGAAACGATGAACAAACAAGCGGATGACATCACTAGCAAAATACGAACACAACAAAACACCAAACACCTTTGCAAAGTCAGTAGGCAAAGAACGACACAAGATACAGATACTCGCACAGTTGTATAGATACATAGATGGACCTATAGAAATATTATGCTTGCAATTCCATTTGTGTGCGGCAGAGACGACTGAGTTTGTGCTGTTTGTATTTTTCGTGTTCGCGCAGCGATTTCATACGAAATATCTTCGCACCACGAAATACGAAATACCATATAGCCATATGCTGTACGTTGTACGTTGTACGTTGTAAGCTCCAAACGAAGGAAAGGTATGAGAAACGCTGGAAGACAGACTGACAGCAGATACATAGGCGCATATGGCTAAATTGAAAGTTTAACTGAGTTTGAGTGTGTTCGTAAATGTGTTTGTTTCTGTTTGATTCTATTTGTGTGCATTGTTGTGACTGTGAGTACGATAACTTGTATCTGAGAGACAGTCAATCAGTCTTGAAAATATTTGCGAACTATGCGGTCACCATACGAAAGTTTTTCTACCGTTTCGGATAGTGAAGAAACTAAAAACAGTGCCATTCCATATCACGCCCGTGAAAATTCGTTACCTTTCAGTTACGGGCAAATAAATAAAACATCAACGCAACTGCGTAGTGTTGGTAGTGGCACAACCGCGAGTGCATTATATAGAAATGGTGGCACTGATGACAGTGGTATAGACTTTGGTTTAACAAAAGATAGAAGTGGATTCAATTTGTACAGCGATAGCGATTATTTAAGCAAATACAATAATAATGGGCCCAGAAATGCTTCATTAGGCCATTCGTCAAGTATAAATTCAAGGAAAACTGAAACGGATGGTAAAATGATTAAGACACAACCACGTCTGACTAGTCCTTTGCTTGTTCGCAAGAGTCTAAATAGTAGATCACCTACGCGAGGTTCTACCAATACCATCGCGAATACTTACCACTACAACTATGACACGACCGATAACAGCAGTAGCGGCTTAAATGGAAATTCAAACAAATACAACAGCATTAGTAGCAGCAATACTCTACGTAAGACTCCAACACGAAACGACTTTGAGGAATTATTGCGCCAGCGACGTGAAAAGATCTACAATGAATATCAACATCGTTCAACAATGCCAGATTTGCGAAATGCCAAACCGGAGCCACCACAGCGCCAATATTTAACAACAACTACCGCTAGTCGGCCGACAAATGGACAGAATAAATATAATTTCGATTTTGAATTTAATTTGAATTTAGATGATGCACCTTCACCACAACGACGAGCAAATACCATTGATCGTTCATGGTCACAGTATCGCACGCGAGATATACCAGTAGCGCCTGAAACAGCATATTCGGAGCGAAATTATAACACAATCGGCTCGACGAATGCTGTCAGAGAAACAACATCGTCGAAGTCATCTGCAGTGGGTTTTGCGAGTCAAGAACGCGAACGACCTCTATTACCAATGAATCACAACAACAATCGTTCACTAAGTGAACAACATATACAGCGCACAGAGTACACCACATATGGCAATGGAAATTTGTCTGGTTACAGCAGCAACAACAATAAAAGCCACATCAACAATGATTTCAGCTATGACGGTACATTGGGAGGAACACGCAGTCGTAGTGACTTGTCGCCGATATATGCAACTACTACGAGACAAGTGACTGGCAATAACAATAACAGTATGCAGAATAACAAAAACAGTGTTAATTCAACAACAACAATTACCACTACAACATACCGCAATGCATATGAACCAGAATTGTCAATTACTGATTATCCCCTTACCGCTAAGGCTTCAACATCTACACAAACTGTACAGCAGGTAGGTGTATCACGTCCAGAAACGCCAGCTTTCCCCGTTACACCACGTACACCATTTGGCAACTATAACACCGCATCAACGCAGCCTCATAGTCCAAATGGCGGTCAATCAACAGCTACTGAAATACATAACTACTCTGCAGAAACAATTTACCAAACCAATCCAACTGCTTATAGACCTCGATTAAATTCAAGCGTCTCAATGATTAATAGTGAACCGCAGGAAGTAGCTGCACATCTGGTTAAATTTGCAAAAGATTCTTCTAAATTCTGGTATAAACCAAATCTGTCGAGGGAGGAAGCTATATCATTGCTCATAAATGCCGTGCCAGGGACATTTATTGTACGTGATTCGACTACATATAAGAATGCATATGGACTAGTGCTACGTGTAAGTCAACCACCACCTGGTGTAACAAATTCCGGTAAGCCGGATGAGCTAGTGCGACATTTTCTTATTGAACCCACAACACGGGGTGTACGCTTGAAGGGTTGTGCCAATGAACCGGTTTTTACCAGTTTGAGTGCATTAGTGTATGAGCATTCTATCAATCAGCTGGCTTTGCCATGTCTACTACGTATACCGGAAGATGATCTAGTCCCATCGCTTGAACTGACGCCAGCTCAAAAACATCTTTTTACACAAGGCGCTGCGACCAATGTATTGTGGCTATATTCGTGCGAAACCGAATCTCTAACCGGCGAAGAAGCAATACGCAAGGCTATACGCCAATTGTATGCACAAAAATCATTACCAAGTCCGACTGTTGTGCACTTTAAGGTGTCACAACAAGGCATAACATTAACAGATAATACACGCAAAAAATTCTTTCGCAAACATTACGCAGCCGACATCATATCGTATTGTGCTATTGATCCAGATCATCGAGTCTGGACTATGCAGGAAGAACAGAATGGCGAAGAACAAAAGAAAACAGTTGGCAACTTGAAGAAAACAATATTTGCTTTTGTTGCAAGGCGTTCATCCAGCTCCAAAGATAACCAGTGTCATGTTTTTTGTGATCTGTCTATTACTCAACCAGCATCGGCAATTGTGTCATTCGCGAATAAGACACTTCCAACCGAAAAGCAGCGTAACTACGTGCTTTGAGAAGGCCTGAATTTAAGTGAGGAATTTGGAGTTAAACACAGATTAGCAGCTAATAAGAGAAGTGAAGGATATGCAACGATGACAGTTGGTGAAAAGAAAAGGGTATCATTTTTATTATAGATTTAATTTGGTTTATATTAGAAAAGTGTGTCCATAGGTGTGATAACGAATTATAAAATATACTAACGATAAGTGACGAAGGTAAAAAAAACAAAAAATTCTTGCAAAAGTTCAGCACTTAAAAATAAAAAACTTTGTCAAGGAAATGTTTTCAAAGTATATATATATTTGAATGAAATACTGAAAGAATTTTCAATATAAACATCATTTTAATATTTTTTAATAGAAAAAGAAACTTATTTAAAGGATATATTCTCTTCGTTAGCTTTAATATACTTTTAATCAAAACTAATATTGTGTCTGTTGTTCGTTAATAATATCTAAACGTTATTTAATATCTATGGCATATATTAATTAATGATACTAATCATTTTGAATTGATGTTTTTACATTAAGCAATTTTTTTTGTTGATTCGTCAGTAGCTCAACTAAGTTATCTTTAACTAAGTAACTTAATTTTTAACAGGGATAAATTAGCCTGGTCTAGATTAGGTGTAGCCACAACCTTGCAACCTTGCTTTCAATCTTCTATATAGATGTTTTATTTAAACATATTGGTTTTACGAACATTTTTGTGTAAATATATTTTGAAAGCTTTTACTGTTTTTAATATCTAGTTTAAAATTAATTTGAAAATCTTTAAATTTAGAATTTTTATTAAGACTAAATTTCAGCGAACAAATAATGTTTGTATGATTGAACCGATTTATTTGTTCTAACATAAAAACCACGAATCAATGTTACACTCAAATATTATGTTATTAAATTTTTTATTTAATTTTGTATACTAATTAAGCAATTTCTTATTAAAGCAATAATGGAATTTATATTTCAAATGGAAGCTAATCAAAACGATTGGCTTGTCTACGGTACAGCAATTGTGGAGAGATATTAAGTTAACCCTTAAAACGTATAGCTTGCCTACGCTACAGTGAATGTGTATCGTATTTGTAATCTATATTAAGTATTGTTTGTGGTTTTTATTATATGTATGTAATACTAATGTAAATAGTTATGAACTACGGACTAACCTTTTTTGCTTAGTCAGTGAAAATATGATATATGCTAACAATGTTATAAATGTGATTTTTCACAAATATTCTTAAAAAACAAAGTTCGGAAGTCGGCACACCTCAGCAATCTATAATAATAAAGTCAAATTTTAATATTATATTTGAATACATTTCAAGGCACACAATGCCTTCGCCGCACACAAATAGTGTAAGGAAATAATTTTTAAGCATTCACTATGATTAGAAAGGATGTGTTAATATCACACCTTCTTCTACCAACAATCATATCGTATGGTTGCTAAAGCCATACCTCATTTTAACTTGTAAGAAGAAGCACACCGAAAAAAAGAATAAAAATAAAAATTGCACTAAATCAGTAAAAAATACGTAGGAACTAAAATTATATATATTCATAATAGAAAAATATCTTTTAGTATTATTAAATAGCGGAAAGTTAGACACACATTTCCCTCCGCAGCAACATAGACTAGAATCACATAAAAGCATTACTCATACGCCAAAGCACCAAACAAGTTCCACATTTTTTGTTAGTGTACTTCTCTTTTTTTTCTTTGAAATTATAAAAACTAAAATTAAATTAAACAAAATTCTTTTTAGTTATATACATTTAATGCTCATGCATTATAATGTATAATTATATCATAAATTGCACTTAATTTTGTACATTTCTACATATGGAATATTGAAATTCTTAATTATTTTTTGTTTATTATTTCTGATCGCTTTGTGTTTTTGCGCATTAAGAAATTGATTTTCTACTGGCCTTTGCTATCGAGTATTTATATACGAAGCTGTGTGTATTTATCTATATACATACATATGTTAAAATTATTCTTAAACTTAATTGAAAGCGGTTTAGAACATCCAAGCAAAAAATTTATTAAACATTTGAATTTATTCAAGCGTTTTAAGATTTTAACTTTTTTTGGAATGTGTTTACATTCTTTTCATATATGTAAATGTGTATAAAGGCAAGTGGAAGGCAAGCAGCTATAAATAATGCCACACGTTGTTCTATTTCTATGTTTAAATATGAAAAAAAAAAATAAAAAACGGCTAAAACGTTAAACACAAATATACATAAATCAGAATCAGAACAATACTTTCTATTATTTTCATTTTAAAATTGTAGAAAAATTCATTTCATTTTTTTAGATTGATCATTATTATTGTAATTAAACTCAATTGCAAGTCATATGAGTTGCGTTATACGAGTTAAAAGTGAATAGATGTCAGTAGCGCATTTGCGATCAATTCAAAAGCGGACACTACATGCATATAGCAAAATTCAATAGATCAAGTTTTGTGACAATTACTTGATACAATCCCCTTACCCTCGTAATCGTTTTTCATAAAATATTAGACAATGTCGAAAATATTTATTTGTTGTTGATTAAATAAATTTTATAAAATACATACATACATTGTTAGGTGATTGCTTCTTAGAATATGGTATAGTATTAGTCAATATCTAAATTGTTCAATTGGTGTTGCCCTAATAAATTCGATGATATTGTTAGAAATTCTTTATATCGCTACATCTTATACAAAACTAAGAAAAGCAAACACTAATTCACGGTTAGTCTAAAAATCTTGTATTAAAGTCTTTTAATACTCACAAGTCTTTAATTTTATACTCACAAGTCAAGAGCTAAATTTTAGCTTTCAACTAAATTTAGTTTATTTGTACATAAATTCGCTACTGTTATTTATTATTTATAAAACTATAAGAGCTTATGGTTTGTAGACATGGAAGTTGAGCAAGAACGACAGGCAGGCAATACTATGTGTGATGTCAATTGAAAATTGTAAAATTATATCAGAAACTATTTTTGTTTATAAGATAACGCATATGTTTGAACTTTTGCAAAATTAATTTAATTTTTTACCTATTTATATAAAAATTTATACATACATATATAAACAAACTGTTTGGTTCATTCATTGTTGTTATTATATACATACGTATATTAAAATTTAGAAAAACGAAATATTTAGAATGATTTTAAATGTATATGTTGCAGTCATAAGCATATGTGCCTTTATTATAATAATTGAAAATAATATTAAAAAAAAATAATAAAATAACTAACATAAAAAACTAAATTATTGTTTTAATGTATTAATTAGTTTAATTAGTTCAACAAAATTTTCATATTACTTTGATATATATGTATATTCGTTGGTATATTATGGCATATTTCAAATGTTGCTAAATTTATATAATAATTTTATGCATTGGATCCGTTTCGTATATTAAATCTCTTCTATTTAATTTTTTTTTTTGCTTTTTTTTTCTCCGTCTTTAATTTTCTGTTTTTCTTTTTAAAAAAAATAATATAAATTTTCACATTTGATGATATAACTACAATAGCTTTGGATAATAACATCAAACCAACATGGAAATAAAATAAAATATAATTCTATTTAATAAAAGTAAAACAAGCAAATAGAGGATTATATTTTGATGCATTACATCGTTATTGCCTAATGTGTTGCGTACAATACAACGGAGACGAATTCCATATTCTTTTCGAATAATGTTAAATTACTAACATTATTTCAAACCAACTTTAATCTCACTTATTTTGGGTAAAGAAATAGTTTTCAAAATGTAGAATTAAAATTAATTAACTAAAGAGTAGGCACGACATTTAACCTTAAATTGAAGTATATCTCCAATAATTTTACTAAATATCATTCCCATATCACAAGCAGATAATATATAACGATTAGAACATTGAAGCAGAAGAACTACAAATGAAGCTCCAAGCCTCTTGCTCAATAATAACAAATCCTGCCCGTGCTTAGAGTATGCTGGTATAACAGCATCATAAAACCAATAGGGACTTTAAACAAAATTAACATTATCTCAATACCTATATTGCATCACACTTTCAAATATATTTACCAGAAAATAATCATATAAAAGTGAGCAAATATATTCTAATATAATTTTTATTAATTTCCATTCCGTGTCTTTATACTTCCATATTCCAGCACACAAAAATAGTTCAAATTCCACAAATTCTTATATTGGATATATAATTTAGCAAAATACTTCACGTAACATATCTCTCTGTGAAGGTTTGTTTTCGTATGCGCTAGATAATGACAAAACAGTTGTAAAGCACTTTCTTCAACTGCTTTACGGTTGCTTTATATAGCATAGTTTTCTAAGCGAAAGGGAGTACCTTTCTGCAAACTCAGACATTGCTTAAAAAAATTTAGTTTATACCAATCTTATGCATATTACATATATGATTTTTTTCATATTTCTTTACTTTACTTTACCAAAACAGATTCGACTTCTTCTTCTTCTACCACTACTTCTTTCTTTCCTGAACTTCTAATTCTTTGGTCTTTAATTATTCTCATTTACGAGAGTTTGAGATTGTCATTTTCAACGAGTCAACAACCCAAATCATTCCCCCACCGATTCCACTTTAAAACCAAATTTCTTCTCTCTAGGTTGGATGGATTTCGATATCTAAATAATGCGTAATAGGTTTAATAGTTTAGTTTTAGGTTAACTTCTGACACGGAGGCTTTGATGCTTCGCCACCTAATACAGAAAACAAAAAGGTTACTTGCACAATTCTTTGCATTCACAGTGGCTATCAATAATGTGACACCATATAAATCCTAAAGTATTTCATACTCGTATACCAATAAATTAACATGTGTATAAATTAAAGTTACGTTCAATGCATAATAAATCAAAATTCTAATGAATTTTTGTTACAAGTCTTTTATACAATATTTAAAAAATATAATTGCAATTTATAACACGTTTGAAAACAGATGCACTCCTTGATCAACTGCATTTCAGTTTTGTTTACATATTTTGCATATATAAAATGCAACAGCTACACAAATAAAAAAACCAAATAATTAGTAAGTAAAACAAAACCTTTTGGCATATTAAGTGAATTTGTTATATTTATTATATGTACGAGTATGAATTGCTTCTTTATGAAAAATAGAAATCGTAAACCAAATGAAACCTAATCTTATCTATGCAAAAAATGGAAGAAGAAAAACTAGTAGTAATTATTTAGCAAGCTTATCTTCTTTGCCGTAACTGACTTATTAATTTAATACTACAGTGAACCCTTTGAATAAATGCCAATCTTTTGTCATACAGTTCTAATGATGATTTAATCAAATCAATGAGTTAATGGCAATGGCAATTAAGTTTATGACATTAATATAAAAATCGTTTATTATTTCAAATTTTTAATTTGTTACTTTGAGATCACAGAATATATCACACTATATATTCTGTTATTTCAAGATTTACGATTAAGCTTCTTTTTATATCAAGTTACATACTATAAAATCTGAGGCACACTTTTTCTCATTAGTTAATTTTTTGATTTCTTATGCATTTGTTTCCAATAACACTTAAAACGCTCGTATATCTACGTATTTTAGATTTCTGGAGCAAAACTTGATGTGGTTATAGCACACAATAATTGAAAGGCAGTCAAAATGATATGTTTTGATACAATTAGCTGAGTACCCCAAGTGCTAACCAAAATATCCTGCCGAATATATTAGTCTCTGCTCAATAATATACCACATATTGCAATTTTCTATTTCCTTTTATTTAGAAGGATTTATATTGGTTATTTTAATAATGAGTCTATAGTTTCAAAACTGGAATATCCTGTCGACCACAAGTAAAACAACCAGGATATGGGTTATAAGCCCATATCCTTAAAACCGTTCTGCAGATTTTGGGTTCGTCATTTTCGGATTTAACAATTCAAAGTACTTTAGATTCAACTTAATTTGGTTTTAAACAAAAAAAATAAATGTGTCAGATAGTGTGATATGTCTTTATAAGAAAGATACTATTTATAACCAGAACCACTAAGGTTACTAAGTTAGAAACGACAAAAATATCCCAATAGACTAAGTGACAACAGTAAAAATTATTTTTATTAAATTTTCTGACACAGGTGTCAGACTTTTTTAAAATACTCGTAGATTTATAATTATCATTTGTATCTAACTACGTACCATAAGTATAAAGTAAATAATGTATTTTTTAAATGTATATTATTAAATTTAATATTAACGCCAATATGACAATAGTGACTATTTTTTATCTAATAGAAACTAATGTATTTGTCAGAGAGGTTTTAAAAAGTAGTGAATTACACCAACAAAAATAAAGAATTATTTTAATTAAGGGCCATGTTAGGGCCATGTTAGGGCCATGTTATGCAGAGTGTCTCGGGCACGGCATGAGTACAATTGTTGTTGTTTTCAATGCAAATTTTAAATTTGAGAATGAGAGAAAAAACAATATGGCCGTTCAAACTCCGGCATGAGAGCCGGCGTATTTGTGCCCTGGCACTAAGGCAAAACAGTGTTGTTTAGTAATAAAATTTCAAAATTTGCGCCTTTTAGGAGCAAATTACTACAATTCTAGTACGTTTTGGAGAAAAAATGGCAGTAACACAGCATTTTGTTTATAAATCACTAATAATATAATTATTACTCTTTCCGATTTTAAAGAAACGCGCAAGTACTGTTAACAATTATTATAAGATAATATAATAATAAATTAACAGTATTACATCCTCTATGATGTTTTTCTTGCTAGTTATTTTTGGTGGTAAATTGAAAGTGAGCATATTCAAATTTCTTTTTAAATTTAGGCACAACCAAGAAGTAGTAAAAATATAAAATTGGCAATACTGATGTGACACTATGCATAACATGCATTTTCGGCATAACCCGAAAGAACGTAATTTGCCGTGCCCGAGACACTAACAATTTTCTTTGTTCAGCAGCTCCAACAATTTTGAATCCATATTTTTAAGAAATAACGAACTACTGAGTATTACTTGCCTGACAGCAGGAAAGATCTTCTTTGCATGACAGTTTTACGAAAGTGTTGCCAAGCAAGCAAAGAGAAGTAGTATCATTCACAATAGAGTCTGAAAAATTATATGTGCAGGAACCAATAAGTTTATATGGCATTTACACTGGCCTCGTATGGCTCATTGCAAATGAGTCATATGAAAGTATTTACATTCGTTATAATTCATTTGTTCTTATTTCAAATAGCTGATTTGATTTTTGTTCTGTGCCAAAAAAATGTTAAACGAAGGTTTAATATACCTTCAAACTGTACAATATAAACAGAAAACTTATTTTTAGCTTTGATTAATTTATTTGAAAATTTTTAACCAAAAATAATAAATAATTGGAATAAATTAATGAATAAAAATTTACATAAGTGCAGTCCAAAAATTGCCTAGGAAATTTTAATTTACTTTACCTGAATTTCCTCGAACTCGCATACGACCCACCTTTGCAAATCAATTACACATTCATAAAAAAGAGAATTCTGCGTATAAAAACAAATAATTTCGAACATACAACAATGTACAGATATTTTGAATACATCTACCATTATATGGAAACATAATAAAAGTGTAAGTACAATACTTAAACATAAAAGTTACAAAACAATGAGAAATATAATAAAGATATCAATCGAAGCAATGTTATGCAGTGGCGTAACTACATTTTTTAGGCCCATAAGCAAATTCTAACTAAGGGCCTCCTACCAATATCTTTTTATACCCTTTACACGAAAAAGTGTAGAAAGGGTATATTAGGCTTGTCACCATTTTCGTAACGAATTAAAGGAAAAGTCGAAAATACCATAAAGTATATATCAGTATATGTATATACATATATACTTTTTCAGTTCAAACTACTCTCTCAGCTTTTGAACTCTTCGAGTGAAACTTTACACACATACTTTTTGGGAGCAGAACCTGTTCACTATTTGATTTGATTGAAATTGGCCTACTAATTTTTATAGATGTGTGTATTTTTATTTTTCCTGACAAATATTTCCAATCCCAAAATCCAGAACACCCTTGATTTGTTTGATTAGAAAATAACCAGCATGGCTCACAATATACTGAATCCAATAACTTTGAATAGTATAACTAAAGTCGTGGCAATGTTCCATATTTTGTTTTTAAATTATAGTACGAAGTATTGAAACTTATATTTTCTTGAATAGGATCCTTTAGAAATGACCCTTGTAATCTCTGGTGGTCGCAAGAATTATTAATTAATAAGCGTTTAATATCATCAGTAATTTTGACATTAATATAGTGCCCAGTTGATTTGATTATGGTTTCATTAATTATTTTGAAGTCTGTTTCAGTATTTGAACAATGTGTCAATTTATTCTGTGTATCACAATTAGCAAAGACATCATTTAAATCGTTTACTTCTTCACTTTTATTTTTATTTATTTTTAGAAAATTGTCTGGTTTTGGTAATTTCTTTAATGTTTCTTCTCGTTCGTTTTGCTCTTTTCTTTTCTTGGCTCCATTTAACTGTCAACACAAAGAAATTTTAAAGATTTTCTTGAAATTACAAATACAACCTTGTTCAAAAACCAAAATTTATGTTATTCTAACAAAAAACCTTTCGTCCTTCTTTCGAAAATTTATTAAAAATAAATATAATGTATACATAAATTTATAATGGGGCCCCCGAATTTAGGGGGCTTCTTAGGGGGCGAAAGCGTTGCTTCCAGTCGCTTCTCTGTAGTTACGCAACTGATGTTATGTTAAGTAATGTTATGTTTTTGCAAAGAGCCAATCTTTCATATGTACACATAATGCAAGCAAAATACATTTTGTATAACAATAAATAATTAAGATAAAATTAAAATTAATACTTTATTTAAAGCAATATTAAAAATGCAGGAATTTTTGAAATTTTCTTTTACGACAAAATAAGTAATGGTTTAGAATATTTGCGACTCAATACGTATTAACTTGTTAGGAACTAATAAGTTAAAAAATTTAAAGCGCTTTTAAATTATACTTTCTTTACGTAAACCTAAAAGTTTTTGTATATATTTTTAAAATATTTATTTTCTACAAATTTGTAACATATATTTTTAAAATATTTCATTTTCACAATTTTCAAATTTGTGGAACTTTAACTTTATTTAATTTTTTGTTTATTTTTTTTAATACATATGCATTTATTTATTGTATATTCTCTTACAATGTCTAGTCCATATTATTAAACGTAAGTCAATTGTCAGTTGAAGTCGATATATGAATTTAAAACCTATCTATGTGAATAGTAGTTTTTACCTTCTCTTATTAATTTTAGTTTTTCAATTTACACGATACTATTGTGAATAAGTGTAATAAAGAACAAGCACATATTTTAACAAATGTCAACTTTAAAGTAACAATCTGAAAAATTGTTATAAAGCAATTGCATTTTTTATTATACTTTCTTGCGAACGAAAAGTTGTTTATTATGGCTACATCCAGCAACGAAAACGGGAATTTGATGGATGAGTTCGAAGAAGCATTTCAATCATGTATCTGTGCTTTAACTAAAATGGAACCGAATACTGGTATTAACAAAGAAGAAATTGAGCTTGAGGTACAAAAAACAACAAATAACTTTATTGATGTCGCTCGTCAAATGGAGTCTTTCTTTTTGCAAAAGCGCTTTCTTGTGTCTACGTTAAAGCCAGATATGTTAATTAAAGATGAAAATCTAGACCTTCGTCTTGAGATACAGCGTAAGGAGAATCTCTTAAACAAACACTACAACCGACTAGAAGAATGGAAGTCTTGTCTATCAGATATACAACAAAACCAAAGTGTGCACAATCGGCCGGTTGGAGCTATGGGCACTGGTGGTCATATGTCTGATATTGCTGGAATGGGAACGAGTAGTGGTATGGTACGTCCAACAGGTCTAGTTCAAGGTGGTATGCCAGGTCCCTCTAGCCAAATGCAACCTGGACCACAACATCATTTACAACAACAAAAATTACATGCACAACAAATACAGCAACTGCGTATGATGGGAAAATTACCCAAATAAAGTTGAATTTTGTTTCCCATCTATACATAGTTATTTAAGCTGAACAAAATGTATAATAAAATAGTACAATATCAAATATTACGATTTGAGTTGTGATTGATGAATAATAATAAATCTATACAATTTAGTGTCAAACATTTATTTTGATTTAGTTTTAAATACTTTTAAACCAATGAAGCAAATATTTGGTACCATATTAACGAAAACATCTTTAAATTATTTTATAATTTTATTTATTAATAATTTATTTACTGCATATATTCATGTCTTTAAAACTTATAATCAGATACAAGTAGAGTAAAGGGACATAGCTTAAATACATTCTTAATATGTTGTTATTTCAAAGCTGGTTTGTATATATATGAAAATTATATTATCTCTAAAAAAAAATATAAAACTAAAACAAACTTATCTATTATTAAATAAAAAATATAAATGTATTCAAGTAACTAAATGTAGTTAAAATTAACTACGTGCCGACATATAAGTGTAACTAATATTTTTTATATCCGTATTCAAGGTAATTATATTTTAATAGCCGATTTTTATGCTTTTTTTAAAATAATTTCACTTAATCTATTTCGTAAACCTCATTCGGATTAAACCCGTGATTTGGCGGCTGCGTTACCGGCGCGGCTGGTTGCTGCTGCTGCACTGCAGGAGCTTGATAATAACCGGCAGCTGAAGGATTTTGATTTGCATATAGTAATGGATTCATATACATTCCACTCGGATGTGCAAGAGTTCCATGTAATGCTAGCAAATCTTTATACATTGAGGGATTTCCCACATTCATTTCACCATAAAGCTGTTGTAAATACCTTGGAACTAGTTGCAATATCTGGTTTTGATTGAGGTCAGGTAAATCTTTTGCTATTTTCATATTAAGCAATTGCAAAAGAACATCAGAACGAAAACCGAATATTTTATTTGAAGTAACACTTCCAGCAGCATTTCCAAATTGACTACCAAATGCTCCACGATCATATGATATATACTGCGCAGTTTGTACAGATCTTGTTTTTTCCGCCTCATATTCTGACCATGCTGCCTTTCGTTCAGCTTCACTCAAGTTCTCACTTTCTTCATTTTCAAGTAAAGAATCATGTTCATGGTATTTGAATAAAAGACTTTCGTGCTCTGTTAACAATTCCGCAAACAAACGATCTTTAGGTAAAATGGGAACTTCACGCTCTGTGCTTGGTCTCAATTCATAAGTATATAGTTCTTGCAAATCAGATTGGTTATAATGACGTGATATTTGTTGTTCATCTATTACTCTCTTTGCAGTTGCTTGCTTGGCAACTTGCCGTTCGTATACCTTTTGCTCCATTGTGCCCATTGCAATTAAACGATAAATATAGCAAGGCTTTTCTTGTCCAAAACGATAAACTCGGAAAATACTTTGCGTGTCATGCGAAGGATTCCATGAAACATCAAAAATGACAACACGATTAGCCGCCACCAAATTAATACCCAATCCTCCCGCACGTGTAGATATTAAAAAGAGTCGCGCTCTCAAGTTTGTTACATCGTTGAATTTTTTACACATTGCTTCACGCTGTTCAACTGAACAAGAACCATCAAGTCGAAAATAATCAACCCCAGCTGTCCAGATGCCAGTTAGGTCATCAACGTCACCTGGTTTGTAAATAATTTCACATAAAAAGGCATACTTTTAAATAAACATATATATATATATATATATTTACTTACCTTCTATTTCCTGTCCTTTTGTTTTTTCATTGATTAATGATAGAAAATGTTCAATCACATCAAGTGATTGCAGAGATTGTGAAAATACTAGTACTTTATCTCCAATAGCTTCGCATTGCTTCAGCAAGTGCAGGAGTATCACTAATTTTGGGGAATGATTAATGTTATTGAGCTCTTTGTCTGCGACAAATCTTTTCCACCATTCTGATGGGTCATCCTCTTTTTCAACAATTGGAGTTGTATCTTCCATATCGCTATCTTCATTAATATCTTTATTGTTACGAGTTTTTCTTCTTTTTATGTCTGTGCCACTAACACCACCTCCACTACCAAAAGATTTTGATGAATCAACCGAGTTTTCCTCAGAAATAGAACCATTCTCTTCCTCATCATCTTCATCGTCACATATAAAATCTTCCATTGAATCAGAATCATTAGCCATTAAGCGTTTACGTATAACATTATCACTATTTACACGTAAGTTCATTGGATGTGTCCATATACGACGCAAGTCCTGAAAATCTTGAAACAAACGTGCACCTTTTCCAGTTATATCAGAACTGCATTTATCACGTTGAACAGTCATATAATGTTCGTATAGTAATTCTTGTAATATCGAAAGAGTTGTATATACGACGTATTCATGTTTAGGTGGCAAATAGGGTGCCAATACTGAATAGTCTCTACGTTGTATGCAACCTTCTAACATTTTATGCAATATATGGGAACGATGTTTCATTAAGCGTATGTCGCGGTCTGTAGAATCTGTGTATTGACCATTTGTAATTGGGTTTACGAACCGATTTAAATATTCTTTATAAGTACCAAGTAAATTGGGTTTTATAAATTGTATCATACAATAATCTAAAAATATAAATATTAAATATATAACAAAATAATATTATTAAATATTTAAAAACATATATAACAAAAACTTACATTCTTTAAGATTGTTTTGCAATGGAGTACCGGTCAGAACAATTCTTCTTTTAGTACGCATTCGATTTACTGCTTTACTAATTGATGTTTTCTCATTTTTAAGCAAATGTCCTTCGTCACATATAACTAAATCTGGACCTGGTTCTACCAACACCTTTTGCAAGGTCTCCCGTTGTTTCTTGCGCAAGCCTTTTGCCTTATCATTAGATAATATACGAAACATATCGTAGCCTAGGATGCATGCACCGCCTTCTTCAAACCACTCATTTAACTTAAATATGCGTGTCGATTTATCTTTGTACTTGGACATATCATAAATTTCTACTTCTTTTTTCCTTGCAAAACTTATCCAATGTTTGAATTCTCGCGCCCAATTATTTAATGTACTTAGAGGTGATATGACGAGCACACGTTCCACTTGTGTTTTTCTTGCATTAACCAATAATGTATGCGAGAGTGTTACGACTTGTAAGGTTTTGCCCAAACCCATACAATGAGCTAATATGCATCCGGAACCACATTTTTCATTTGTATCCTTTAAAGTCTCAAAACAAGCATCCCACATAAATTTTACACCAGCTACTTGATGAGGTTTTAATTTTTTTAAAATTCCCTTATCTACCTCTAGTAATGGGTCCTTTGATTCCTCATCAAAATCTAAAACTAACTCCGTTACTTCAACACTTTCAGCCTTATCATATATTTTATTATAAATTTTTTGTCTCTCCTCAATGCGCTTCCGTCGTTCTTCTTCTTCTTTAGTAGCTGTTTTTGTGCTGATGTCAAGGTCTTTAGTGCTTATAATTTTACGTATGTGCTTTCGTTTATTTTTATTCTTTTCATCTTCTTCGCCACTCTGATCACTGTCATCACTTGATTTTTTAATAATCCTACTACGCTTTCGAGGTTGTTTTTCTTTTGGTTTAAAATCAGAATCCGAATCTGTAGAGTTTTTTGTTTTATTAAATGTACGCTTCTTACGTGACGGTATTATTTCGCTATCGCTACTTTTCACATCCGAATAATCTGAAGAGATCGCATCTTGTTTCGCTTGACTTGAGACGTCATTACTTCCCTCACAATCCGAGTTATCAGACTCAGATGATACCATTGATTTCCGGTTTTTAGCTGAGCTAGTTGCAGCTTTCGAATGTGTTGCAGTAAGTGTGTTCATTCTAGAACCGTTTACTTGTTTACTAAACTGCAGAAGAGGAATACGCTTTAAACGCACGCAAAGTTTCCGTAGCTTCTGTCTATCACCTTCAATAACGATCTTTGAATTTAAATCAATTGAAGATGATGTGACTTCTTCGTTTCTTTTTTCTGCACAAATACTTTTGATTACTTTTGTATATGGCTTTTCTACTTCCGCAGATGGTTTTTCAATTTTCTTGATTTGTCTTTTTGTTTGATGTTTAATAATAATTTCTTCGTCACTTTCTTTGCTTGATGTATCACTCAATTCGATTATAGAAGTATTATTTCGTTTCTTTCGCTCTGGCAAACGAAGTTTAAGTTCTGGCTTCGAAGCTGTCAGTGGCACAGGCGGTTTTTCAAGCAACCTTTCAATTGGTATAATACGCAAGCGGAATTGATTGTTTGTGGGAGCTATACAAAGCTGTTTTTCGTCCTCTTTCCTTTCACCGTTATTTCTGTCTAAAAGTAGACTGCCACTGGTATTGCTATTTTCATCATTATTTTTTTCAATTTTTGATGCGATGTCGTCTGAATTATTTGATTCTGATCCACTATTTATATTATTGACAACTGTACCTGAATTTTCATCGGAGATCAGGTTGCTACAATTTGTTCTGACTGTTTCCATAGGTATGCGTTCCGAAAATATTCTTTTACTTGCAACAAACAAAAAAAAATTGCAAAATACTGCTGTCCATTAACATGCAATCCTATAAAAAAAAAACTATTATATGTGTGTGTCTTATTTAATATATTAATTAATTATTTTATATATTATTTAATATATAATATATATATTTAATATATATATATATATTATAAAAAAATTATAAAAAATTATTATAAAATTATTATATTATATTATAAAAAAACCCAGATTTTTTCTAATATGAACAAAACTACGACCTACGACTATTGTCAATTGTACAGCAGAAATTTATTTAAGACGGTTTATTTGGAGTTTTTCCGTAACCACTGAATTTCTTTTTCTTTACATATGCACGTACGTTTGTATTATTAAAAGTTAGATTTCTTTGATCTCTGATGTTATTAGTAATGCCGATTCTTTTACAATAAAATATAGAGTTCAAACGTTTATTTCTAGTCTTCAACTGTCAACACAATCATTTCCACAATGGCACCATTTTTTTGCAACTTTGTTACATTTTTTTAGGATCGTCTACAGTTGTTGTTGTTACACATAAATTGCATTTTTTTTGCAAATGCATAATTCAATTGCTATCTCAAGAACTCAAATTCACTGAAGTAGCATATAATAATATTTAAGCGTATTCTATGCTTTAAATTTGTTATAGTAACATTATTTAAACAATTAATAAGAGTTGACAAATTTTATTTTATTTTTAAATTCAATTCCTATAACTTTAGCGATATCAAACACCAACTGCTAGCATAATGTTAAATATTATTCAATGAAGAGTTTATGAACTTATAAAAATAATTAACCATCCTTCGTACTATTTAATTAAATGCCGAACAATTATCAAAATATTTTTTACCACAAAAAACGCCGCTAGATGAAAAAATATTTAGGTATACATAGCAGCATTAGAGCAGTGTTTCATAGGAACAAAATATCTCAGATGTTTATAAAACATTCACAATAACACAATAAAATAAGTTTTGCATCAGCAACCTAAATGAAATAGACTGAACACTTTGGCATAATTATAGGCTCATAATGCGTTCACAAATAATATAAGCACTACTTTCAAAGGCAAGTCTGGACAAAATGGAAATTTTGTTAGGCTTATATGCAAAATATATAATAAAATTAGAAGTTAAAATTTCGAAAATGAATAATGATTCTTTGCAATCATGATAAAGATTGTAATGTAAATAAAATATAATTTTTCATGCCTTTTAACAGTAAAAAAATAAATAGAAAAAGTAACGTATTTAACAGTAAAAAAATAAATAGTAAAAAAATAACGTATTTGTTACGAACAATGATGAAACGAAATACAAATAACTAACGAAATTGTTAATAGTTAACTGAAAATTTCGTAGGTCCTACCAAAAGTCGTTCACAATAGACGAATTTTAAGTCTTAGCAACTATCTTGAGTTGCTCATGAGTTAAGCGATTTTTAAAATGTTGGACTAAATTAGCCAGCAGTGTTATTGTTTCATATATTATTTTTAAAATAGGCGGTTGTTCTTTTGTGATATGCTTACGAAAGAAAAAGCCTATTACCGTTCAAAATTGATGCCATTTAATATGTTCATTAGAAGAAGTTTTCATTTGTTATGAGAATAATAAGTACGAACACAAATCTGCATCATCATACATGAGATTAATCTCATGAGACTAATCTGCACCACTTCAAGATTGTATCCACATGACCTCCCTGATGCAAGAACAATTGTTTAATATAACATTGAAGAAAATTATGCAAAAGTTCATCATAGGGTATGAGCGTTTCATTATAAACTAACACGTGAATTTATTTTTTATTTCGTTTTTAATAATAATCTATTTATATTCACTGGTTATAACTCGAAGATTTAAAAAGTACCTTGAACTGGTTAAAATTCTCAATAGAGTTCTTCAGTGACCTTTAAGCCTTTTAACTTTTCATACGGTAGCACATTAACTTAATAGGTTTAACTTTTATCAGCTTTAATAGGAGATTTTACCTTTGAAGTGAAAGTGAACCATCCTAAGTTTTTAAACTTGGCCAAGTCCATAATTATGTAAAATGACAGATCTGGCAGTTCAGTATGAAAAGGAGCCCTGAAGACTTTAAATAATCTTGCCAATGATGGTTTCCTTCCTTCTTATTCGCAAAGCCACAACCATGATGAAAGTCATTATAGAATGGACCCAGTCTCATAAAATGCAATGCCCCGTCGACACTGACACCACATTGCTGAGCAGGTTACGCATTAGTTGAAGCAGCGGACTGGTACATCTCTTGCCTGGAGACCAATATCTGAAACTTGAATATCATAGAGCGGCGGGCGGGACTGCGTGCCTCTGGGAGCGAGTACACAAAGCAACGTGCCTGATTGCATTTAATATGGAAAATATGGAAAATGCTAGATTGAGCCCTTGTCGAACTCAATCCAAGTTGTCGCAAAGCCTCCACGTGGCACCCCTGGATAGTTACCTCAAACCCGTTGGATGATGAACTAATAATACGTATAGCTAGTCCAATGCTCACGACTTAAAATTTGGGTTGTCCACAGAGTTTGACACCTGTCACGTAAAATCATTTGCCAGTGAATGGCGTAAGGCTGCTTTGGAACTGGAACTGGAATATTGACGACCCATGCAAACGCTTAAAGGACTATGATTTACAGATATGCACCTGGAATGTCCGGACTCTCTATAGAGGTGGTATAGAGATATGCAACTGGCGAAAGCCCTCAATAAATGTAATGTAATGTATATGCGATAATTATATTGGCAATGCATATTATTAATATAATAATAAGTGGTTATATATTTGAATGCGCTGTGTATATACAAATACACTAATTGTTTCCAAGCGCATTGCATTGTTTACAAACAAATTCATAATTCCACACACAAGGAATTTTACACCACACATATCGTCGGCACTTTGCCTTCGATTTAACCGTATGCTTGCCAGGCATTACTGCATATACAATAACATCAACAGTAAGCGTACTCAAAAAAAGTGGAATCGAAGACGCTTACTTAGCAAAAAATTATTAAATAGAAAAGTACTTACGCTGTGCCGTTTGGTACATAAATAAAACTACATTTAAAATATTAAAATAAATAACACAAATATATATAATAATTATAAAACATTTAGTAAATAGAAAGTGCATATGCTGCGTCGTAATGTACCTAGGTTAAGTTGAAAGTAAAAACCTAAATAAAAATAAGAACAAGAAATGCACTCATAAGAAGCGCACCAAGTTCTCCAACCATACAACCATTCTTTTATTTTTAAAATAGTAATCTATTTTATAATAAGGAACGCCAATAAATAGTGGCGATTTAATAACTATTACTTGTAACGATTACAGTAAGGCGTCACCATCACCCAGGAAATGCGATGAAAAGGACAAGACTGCTCTAAAAGAGCAAACTGTGATGTATACTACAGCTGCCATGTAAATAGGCGTGAATTTGGATGCGATTTTGGTCAAACTGCCGAAATATTTAGCCTCCATGAATCAACCTCCAACAACGGTCTGATGCTACTTGATTTTCCTGTGCTACGAAAAATGGTAGTATGTAGCACCAAATTCCCACACCGTGGTATTCCTTAGGCATCGTGGATATCTGCAAATCAATCAACTCGAAACCAGATTGATTGACGCAAGACATGATTCAAGTCTGCTGAACGTACGTTTATTCTGTAGTCCAAATATCGACTCAGACCACTACCTTAGTACCGCTAACAACATACGCTCTCGTGTACAAGAGACAGCTGAAGTCTTCACCGCTTAACTCTCTAGTCGATTAAACAACCAACCTTCTCGTCCCGATAATACCGTTAGACAATGGAGACATATCTCTCACTCTCTACGCACAACTGCAGAAGATGTTCTTGGTTTCCAACGTCCCCTTTGACGCAACTAATGGTATGACGAGGAGTATCGTCACACTACTCCTGCGAAAAACGCGGCCTGTAAAAAGAAACTGCAGTCACCAGCTTCGCGAGCCGTGCGTGAACAATATCGGAAGATGAGGAAGATAGAGAGCGTCTTTACAGACGGAAGAAACAAGATCAAGAAAGGCGTGAGCGAGAGGAAATCGAGGTGTGTAGAAACAGGAATAATGACCGTAAATTTTATCAAAAACTCAACCTTCTGAATGAAAGTTTTAAGCCTGGTGCGTCAACGTGTAAGGACGAAAATGGTAATCTGGTTACAGATACGCAGAATGTACTGAAAATATGGAAAGAACATTGCTCTAAACTGGAGCCCCCAACAGAAAAAGATGGTGTTTAAATTCCACCACCTAGCCATAACGAAATGAGTGTTGCTTTACAACAACAACAACTAAAAAACAACAAAGCGGCAGGCGCAAACGGACTACCTGCAGAATTGTTTAAGACCGACGACAATATGCTGATAGGGTGCATGCATCAGCTTATCTGCAGAATATGGTTATATGAAATTTTGTCCAGTGATTGAAATCTTAGTACTCTTTGTCCTGTTTTGAAAAAAGATGATCCGGCGATTTGCGCCAACTATTTCGGGATGAGCCTAATACCTGTCGCGTACAAGGTTCTTTCAACTGCACTCTGTGAAAGATTAAAGCCACATTCCTACTCACAGCATTACGGCATTAATATAATTCATCGAATTAACATCCAGCAGCTTCGCTGACTTAGTCATGCCGTGAAATGGGTGAAGATGCTCCGACGAAAAATCAAGTCAAGTTGAAGGAGCACTAACTGGACTTGATGTACGAGACTGGAGAATGCGCCCACGCAGCAGAGGCGCCTGGGGAGACATGATGCGTCAGGGCGAAACTCTGTAACGGGTTGTTATGGCCAAATAAGTAAGTAAGTAATAATGTCAGAGAGCATATCTGCCTACCTTGACAATTCATCTGCCCAGGCGTTGCCCGAGATGTCTCTGTGTCAAGGTACTAATGAAGATCACGAATGAGGAATATCAGGTACCCATATTTACTAGAATATCAGGATCTGTGTTTGTTGATTTTCATCTGTTAATATTCAATCCACCATCCCAGTTGTTAAGAAGTCAAGGTTCTTTGATCAACAGAATATCCGCTCTTTGGCAGTCAGTCGGAGAATGAGGACTGCTAAGGCCTCCTCAAGAATATTGCAGATTTATTTGCTCAACCCTCAACATATTAAATATTTTCGATGACGTTACTGTTCGCATTGTCCTCATCCGATATCGGTGAGAGTTCTGAAAACAGCGCCATTCTATTGAAAAGTTCGTCTACTAGTTCAAAAGATGATATACTTCTGTCTCCATCTTCGGAGGAGAGAGTGCTTATTCCTTCGGTAATTCTGTCTTTGGAATTTTTAAATCAGCGATTG